GATAATTTAATCATAATAATATGTTGGTGTTGGGATAATCTTGATTTAAAATAAATTAGATTTTTTTAAGCGTCCGACATATTTATTCAAGTACCAGTGTTCCTACGACCAGACAAGGCAATGGCCATAAACTAAACTATCATAGACAATTGATAATTCACAGACTTGACTACAACAGTGACTTCGTTCTTTGATGTCGCTTGTCGATCGAACCAATTGCATCTATGGATATGTACACCTGGGGGCCAAGTCTACTAAATAAATTTAGTTTAAATCGAATCGAAAACGGAGTTCTAGTTCTATTTTAGCTGGAATTGTATCGTATGTCACTTAGTAGAATAGAAAAGTTAGTTTCGTTCGGTTTCGATCCGTTTTCGATTCGATTTAAACAAAATTTATTTAGTAGAATTGGCCCCCTGTCCATTTATACATACCTACGTACCTATACTAGTAAAGGTTGTACCAGTGATGGTGGCACACATACAGTATCTGTCAGTAAATTTGGGCGCCCGCCAAATGCAATGCTCATCCATTATGTTGAGTCGGCACTGCACGGGAAACTGAGCGTTTCCATTGTCATATGATACGATTTCTTTACTTTTTAAACGATAAATTGGAAGTTACTCTAAAATCTAGACGGTTTTTTTGCCTTTACATGTATTCATTTGTAATTGTTTACAGAATCTTGATAAAACTATAGTAGATCTTAAATTCGCTATATTTTCAGAATAAATATTGGCACAGGTTCACCAAGTTTCACGAATCAAAGCACCGAGAATTTAAGATCCATGTTATGGAGAGAAGCAGCTCCCAGAAAGTGAACGATCAATTCCTAAAAGCATTGCTGTGTGACAGGTGGCCCTGTAACCGTTTCATATTTCTATGATTTAAGATCCGTGTTTTGTAGCTGAAGATGAGAAAAAGATATTACTGAGCTCTAGCCATTTTTTGTCCTTTATGCACACTTTATATGAGTTATCCTATTATGTTATTTTTGTTATAGTTTTTATTGTTTTTATTTACAGTAAATGTGTACCGAAAATATTATTTTATCTATCTGTCTTTTATCTATTTGCAATTGGAACCCTCCATCCTGGAAGATGGAATCCAAAAGAGAATTGGGGAGAGATAATTATAGAAGCAAGCGAGATTAATTCATGGACAGGTCTAAATGTTGTTTATCAGTTAGTTCGGCTAATTAAATACGGTTTTAAATTTTAACTACATTGTGGTGAAAGAGGTCTTGCCATTACTAATTTAACGATAACGATAACGGATAGGAAAAACATAGTACCTACGACGAGGGGAATAACAATTAGCGTGTGCTGATGTGCGTGTAATAAAAGTATAATACGAAGCCGTGAATGAAACTCTAGTTTCATTAAAAAAGTAGGCGTCAAAGGCTATTGATATTTTACAAATAGATCCATTGGACAAACTGAAATTAGAACTCAGTTTAATAAATATCAACGATGTCGTTCAATGGAAACGGTCAACTTTATATACAGAGTAAATACAACTCTCTAGAGTGTGTTCTGTGATTGAGGCATGTTACACGTCCGGTGCGGGTCTATTTCCCAAAATGCATGGATTTAGGTTATCTATATACGTTCAATCCAATCCTTTATTTACCCTTTAGGACATTTCGCAACTTAGGTCAGTCATAATACAATTGCATCATATGATAAATACAAGTATTCTACAAATTAAAAGTATCACACACTAACATGATAAACACCTGTTGTCACTGATGTCAACAATCATACAGAAATATAATCATTGCCAATAAAAAAAAACACTAATATTATTAAAAAAATGTGGTTACATTCCGTCATGTTCTATATTTTTTTATCTAGTTTTCTAATACATCTCAAACACTTTAATTGTAAGCACAGAATTTATGTTCGACATCTGAAACATATAAGTAGTTCGACAGAAACAATATTTACCTGTAGTAATATAATAAAGAGGGAAAATTTCATTGTTTGTTTGATTTTTTGCATTAAAATAATAATTATATTTTATAAATTTTAAATTTGCAGAAAAAATATTATCAAGATACATATTTCTTACTAACCGTATGATTAGGACATTTAAAAAAATTACTTATATTGATATTAGTTTTCAAGAGATTCGGCCCTAATTATGTTAATTTAAGCGTAATTATGACGCTTCATTATAAAGAATTTCACCGTTGATTTATGAAGAAGATGTTGCACTAATAATAATGGGCGATAGTTAGAATTTATATAGTATCATTTGAATATTTTTAAAAACCTTTATAAATCGTCTTTAGTATACTTTGATAAGTTTGAAGAATAACTCGATACTAAATTTAAGCCTTTTGAATGCGGTATTTTCTCTTACAGCGCTGTTAACAAATATTCATATGAATATTTAGCTACGAAATTGTCGAGAGCAGATGCGAAGTTGGCTCGTGCTCCAGATTCTAAGCTCGCTTCCCATATGGCGCCTGTTTGTTTTGTGATGGCAAATGCACTACACGGTGCATTAACGTAAATGTTTAGACAGGAGGAAAATTATGTGAGAAATAGGTATGTATAACTGCTGTCATTATCTTTGCTGTTACTCGGTGGCGTAGTGAATTGGGAAGGGGGGACGCCCCGTATGGCTCTTTTTATGGGGCGACAAATTTTCACAGTAAACAATAAAATATATTTTTTAAATATTTGAACCAATTCATATTTTTAACGCTACTATAAATTCGGACCGAATGAAAAGAGCACGGAATTTTTCATCACTTATTCTGTGACTAATTCGGAGAATACTATTTCTTTAAATTAGATTTTGTAGCGAATGGCAAACAAAATATCATTAAAGAAACTTACTGACTGACTTCTTCTTCAAGAATGACTTCTATAACGCATAAATTAAGTTCTTAAAGGAAATCGGCAATTGCTATAAAAAGTGCTCAATAGAAAAAATGAGATTATATGTCAGTCGTTGATTTTTCGTTTTACAATAGATTAGTTTTTTGCCAGCATCGTTGCCTGCGTGGACCTGTATTAACATATTACAAACCTTCTTTTTGAATAGATCAAATATCAATACAAAAACTGCATTATAATTCATTGTGTAGTTTATAAGAACTCTGCGACTGTACGCTATCTGTACAGCGGAAATTGAATCTTAATACTATGTTTAGGTAAATGTGGACACGAACAGTTGTCAAAATTCTTTAAAGATACAATAATTTATAAATGATATAATAATATAAGTACCTAATCACGGTCTACTCATAATTCATCATCACCAGTTTAATAATATTCCCATTGCTGTATAAAGCATGGCCCTCCATCACTGGCCAGGTGCAGATTGGTGGGTATTAACCACGGCTTTACGTTTCCGAAGCACAAATGAGCTGGAGATAATATGTTTTTGGTTAACCATCCCGGCCATTACAAAAGTTGTTTTAAACAGTATCGCAGACCGAGCGCGCTAACCACTGCGCAATCAAGCTCTCTTATAATTGTTTACTTTTAAATATTATTATTTATCTTAAATTCACAAGGAAAATTTCTTTTGGAATATTGGAAAAAAAATAACCGCGTATTCAAAGAAACACTGTGCGATGACTCATGGCTGTTAAGTTAGGTTTCCACTGTAAGCAAAGCTGTATGCTAATATAGATTTATTATAACTTCATTTTATTTTAAATCTTCAAACGTTTTAGAATGTGTTAGTGTCAATGGCATGTGACAGGTTTATAATAAAATCAGAGAAATCACATTTATGATTTTATCATATCGCTGCCACTTATTTATAAATAATAAGAAACCTATTGAAGTACGGTGGAGCTGGATATGCTGGCAAATTTTTGCCAATCTTCCGAAATTGCATGACCTTTACAATAGCAAGCAGATGCTAAACACAGTACAATCGAAATTTTTATATTTGATAAAAAACTAATAGTTTTTTTAATAAAACATTCATATAATAACATATTTAATGATAATATTAATATGAAATATAGAAATAATCCCAAAGGTACGCATTTTTACTGTGAAATATAGAATATATTTTTGCCTTCTTTGGAACTGCGACAACCCTCGATGAGTAAAGAACTTTTTCCAAGCTCTTTCCAACGACATTTAATACTAATATTTTAATTGCTGCATCAAAACCGAAATTTACAAACTGCTTATGTTTTATACTACAGTATATGAGTCACAATAAATATTTGCTTCTTAAACTTATAATCTAAAATGCATTTTATAGCTAATGAGATGCATAGCGTAGCTTATAGTGGATGTCCAGTACCTTCCTAGGGACTTTACCAAAGCTTTGACGATTGAATATATATATTCGAAGAGTGAAGAACATCAAATACAGTTTCCAAGTATCTCAAGGAATACACAGGGAATATCAGGTATGCTTATTTAATGTACTTAACTTTACCGTATTAATACTTGTATTTAATAAATGTTGATTTGCAAATTGGCAAAAAAAAATTTTACTTTGTCTGTTTATTTTAAATAGTAATCATTTCTGTCTCAGATATGATAAGATTTAAGAGAGTCAATGGATATTAGATTATTCCTGCAATATTCGGTGGTTATTAGAATCGATTAACGTTTCTTTTTTAATAATTTGTTTCTCATACGAATGTTTGAAAAAATAATATTAAATGCAATTTCAATTCCATGTTATAGATTAATTGGTAAATACTAAATATAAAATTACACTGAGTCTCATTTGCTATTAAAAAACTGTTATTATCAGCTCGACTGTGAATGCCAATCGTCAGTTAACTAACAACTATTATAAAAAAACGAAACTGGCTATAATTTTCGATTGGTTTCATAGCAATTAATTGCAGTTATACTTATAACTTGATATGTGATCCTTTTACTTAAATATTAACATAATAATTTGTAACTTTTGATAATCATCGATTAGCGTAGAATGCGAACTCGTGTTAGGTAATCCAACATTCAAGATTTATTTTATGAGGCCAATATTTTTAATTGCAGTTCAACATGAAGATCACTCTGTTTTTTGGTATGGCATTAATCACTTATGCCTGTGCGCAAGTGTATAGGCCGCCTAGATTCAGTCAACCAAGGTAAGTGTAGAAATTTGTATTTATTACTAAATAAAACAATTATTTGAGTAGCTCGGTGGCGTAGTGGATAAGCGCCGCGGCCCGCGATCGTAGTCGTTAAGCAACTTTCGCAAGGGTCGGTCACGGGATGGGTGACCAAAAAATTATTATCTCAAGCTACTCCGTGCTTCGGAAGGCACGTTAAGCCGTTGGTCCCGGCTGCATTTGCAGTCGTTAATACCCTCCAATCCGCCAGCGTGGAGGGTCATGGCCCATCCTCCTTAACCATCCATAAGGAAGGCCTGAGCCCCTGAGTGGGGACGTAAAAGGGCTGATGGTGATGATGAAAACAATTATATTAAAATTAATTCTCCTTTATTATATTTGATCAATTTTGAATTTACAATGCTATACTGAAAAATATTTTTAATGAAAAATGCTTGTACATTCCAATTTGTCCCTGGCACTCAGAGATGGGACTCGAACCCATGACATGTAATTTAGGCATATATATATTTTTATATTTCCATACAAACTAGGCACTAAAACAATTATAATACTTAGGTATAACAGAAAAGTAATGAATCGCTTTTAGATTTTTATATGAAAGCAAAAACTAGCTTACATATTAGTTTTAAGACAGACCAAACCACCACCGATGTCTGTTTAAAATTCATATAATAAGGCATAGGAAAATCACACTTTAATATTAGAAATTATTGGTCCACTATTAGTTTTTAGTCATTACTACAGAATGCAGCATGGATCATTGTAACCGAGACAGTCCAGTAAGCCAGGCCAGTACCGGCGTCATGTAAATGGAAACAATGCTCAAGACAGTTGATTACTGTCTTGAGCATTGTTTCCATTAACATGACGAAAGCCAGTTGAGCTAGTCGAATGAAACAGAAATATTTCCAATTCACAAAGACAATCCAAATGGTCTATTATCTGGATCGATATTTCGTAATAATATTATGTGCCAAGTCTAAATTTCTTACTGTGGTATTACTAAACCGATGTATTGTTTAGTTAACTGACAACTCAACTCTTTAAGGACATAAACGGAACCCCGTTTGTAATAAGTCAGGTCATTATAAAGTTGTAACTGGTTTCACAGGTCTAGGATAGGCAAGAGAGACGTGACTTGGGATAAAAAAGTTGGAGACGGAAAAATCTTTGGTACTTTAGGAAGCGATGACTCCGGCCTTTTCGTAAGTTATATTATATTAAGTCAGTACAATCAATAGATAACTGTGTATGAAATTAAAAATATTTAAATATTTTCTTTGGATAAAAGCATTACTAACAATGATGCTAGGTGTCTGTTTCCTATGTCAATATGGATGATGATTGGGTAAAAAAAATTGGGTAAATTCTATTTAGTGCGTCAGTAAGATAATAGAAAAATATTAGATACGTATTTTTTTTTATTTCAATTTAACAAGAAATAGCTTAGATAACAGGCATTAAAGTGGGGTGGGGGCTCGTTACGTCACAGTTGAGTAAAAAACGTACTCTAACGTGTCGTCATGCGAAATTTCAGCTCAATGTAACGCCGTAATTTTATGATTACGAAAAAAATACGGGTTTAATATTTTTTAACACTCTACCTGACGGACAAACAAACAAAAATTAGTCATCATCCCTATTGTGTCTGACACAGACGATTAAATGTTTATTTGTTTGCCGTCACGATTATGTACGTAGTATTATAAGAGCCATATAATTATTGAAATAGTACAAGTTCGTTTCATACCCAACTCAGTGATGATATTAATTTGATTTTACGAAACCCATATTTGAACGATGGCGCATGGTTGTATCAATATTAAAATTATGGCTCGGGTTTGCGCTATAAGGGCGCCTTACTGACACAATCAGCTTAAAACACCCCAAGTCTCTAAATGAAGGCTATACGCAAAAATTAACTGCATAGCTTTTAAAGTTCAACAAAACGAACGTTCGAGCTATTTGGGAGTACGAGCCTTAACTGGGCACTGCACCTTAAACATACCATAATTTCACGTAAAGTTTAGTGACACTGACATTTCACCTAAACATTTCCTGTGTAAATGAGGATTGCTTTTTCACAAACGAAACGTGCATCCAGGATGACACATAATTAGCTCAAAAGATATAAATGCACTGAAAGCCAGAAATATTACAAACACAGACTTTTTAGATTGGTAGCGATTTACATAAGATCTTTTAGGTTGCAGTGACAATAGCTCTATGAGGAACTGCTAGGGTATAACCATAAGGGTATACCTAAAACTAACTAATAGTAACAAGGACTTATCTTACATAGTGTTAATCACTAAATGTCATTTTTAATTCCAGGGTAAAGGAGGCTATAAGCAAGACATCTTCAACGACGATCGCGGTAAACTTCAAGGCCAGGCTTACGGTTCCAGGGTGCTAGGACCAAACGGTGACGTCAGCAGCTTCGGTGGTCGCTTGGATTTCACTGACAAGAACTCACAAGCTTCCTTAGACGTCAATAAGCCAATCGGTGGACGACCTAGTGTAAGTATCTAATTATAGTAATTAACTGTTTCTATCAACAACATTATCCGTCTTGTATTAAGAGTGAAGATAATTTGCAAAGAATAACCAAACAGAAACAGAAATTATGGCGATTTGATATCTGATTTATGAGAAAGACAAACATATATCTATACTAATATCATTGACACCTATTTTCACTAACCTAGAACAAGGTATAGCTTAATTATAACTAAGAAATGCCTAATATTACGATTCGTCTAAGCAGATTAGTTTCATTCCAAGTAAATATTTTTTCTTTTATGTGTTGACATATTTATGACCTGTTATATACGCAAATGCCTAGTGCAAGTCACCGCATAACGAAATTCATTCCTTCACCACTGACTAAGAACCAGTTTACGAAAGGAACCAATTAACCTTAGGCGATTCCTTAATATTCAGGCGACAAATTTGAGCGACTCCTAAGTTTAGTAAAAACGGACATAAATCAAACTGATAAACTAGTCTTCTGTTATAAGTTAAAAAGTTCTGTAGCTTTTGTAACCTGTTTTACAATTTCCAGGTGACAGGTACAGGTTCAGGAGTATGGAACTTCGATAAGAATACCAGGCTATCTGCTGGCGGTACAATCACCCAAGAGCTGGGCCGTGGTAAACCAGATCTTGGTTTAAAAGCACAATTCCAGCACGACTTTTAATAATTTTGTGCTGTATTCTAACACTCAAAGTTCCTAAAAATTTGGTTAACTGCCTTTTCCCATCACTGAAAGAACCAAGTCGATTTTATCCTTACTTTGTCAGTGCCATTCATTGAAAATAAGTAATATTTATATGTAATGTTTCAATCATATTTGTTTTTGTGATACAAATGATATGTTTTTGTGATATAATGAGGAGGTTATGAAACTTCAAGAGTGTTTGCAGAATTTAAATAAATTGTAAATATTTGATAATACAATGTAAATAATTATGACTAAATAAAATATTTCCGAGTGATTACTTCTTTTTTTTCGATAAGTAATTTTATTTTAGGTTTACTAACATCCAATTACACAAAACCTCATTAAGGTTTAAGGATGTCTTTAAGTTATTATAGACGTTGTGCAACTGGGTATATAATTGATACTTCAGAAACCATAAAGTTATTTCACCTAAATATGACTACTTTATATAAGCATATTCATTTGATAGAATGTACCCGTCTAAACATTACTAAGAAGAAAGTATCTTTGGGTATAAATGACATTAAATATATTATAAAAGAAAATGATTTATTAATTTTTTTTCTTAACCAAAATAGAAGCAGGATCCATCCTGCTTCTATTTTGGTTTAATTATTAATATTCCAATTTTAATCATTTTATTAACGTTTAATATCATAATGTTATTTAATGACTCAATTTATAACGAATGAATAATAAATTCTTAATTGTACACCAATGGAAAAAACAAACATATGGATACAATAAATTTAAATGCACAATTGGCGGTAATCTAAACAATCTAGATTAGATTAGGTTAGCGCATGGTGTCTCAAAACTTTATTTCAATATCATACCTCTACAAACATTTAATGAATAAATTAAATACATACACAAAGTAATAATTACCCAAATACATATATTTAATATATAGCAATCATACAAGATTCCAATTAAACAAAAAATAGCATAGATCAGTGATTCCCTAAGGGGTCCCCTAGGGTCACCTAGGGGTCCACGAGGGATTCAACGGGGTGTACGTTGGCGTGAAATAAAAATAGGGTGCCAATTTCTATCGTAAGATCTTCACATTTTGGGTGAAATTTGGCAATATGGAAAAAAGGAAGCAGCAATTTTTAAATGGTCTACGAAAAAAAATTGTTTGGGAACCTCTGGCATCGATAATTGCACAAAAGCGTGACGTCATTCGACATTTGAACTCGACGTATATCCGTAATTTATTGATTACGCAAAAATTATGTGTTAATCACTATTTATCTTTAATGACATCGTAAAAAACAAAAAACCGGCCAAGCGTGTGTAGGACTCGCGCACGAAAGGTTCCGTACCGGAAAAACACATAAAATCACGTGTTTTGTATGGGAGCACTCGTTAATATTCATTTTATCTATTATTCATTCTGATTTTTAGTATTTGTTATTGTAATGGCAAAAGAAATACATCATCTGTGAAAATTTCAACTGTCTCACTTTCGCGGTTCGTGAGATAAACAGCCTGATGACCATAGTGGTGACAGACAGGCACACGGCGAACTCTCAGTAATAGGGTTCTCGTTTTATCATTAGGGTATGGAACCCTAAAAATCATCAAATGTATAGGATTCGTTTTATCATTAGGGCATGGAACCCTAAAAATCATCAAATATAATTTAATAAAATAATAAATTTCAAATTAGGATACGCTCTGGTAAATAACATAGAGTATATTTTTTAATATCTGGGCTACCCAAGACAAAAACAGCTAATATGAGAAGTGGAAATAGTTATCATCTTATTTTTTTATAGTTACTCACGTATTGTATAATACGTATAGTGACATAATATATAGTACCTATCGCAAGATAGTGTACACGAAGTTCCCGAAATACGATTATTTATAATTTGTTCCCTGTGGATGTTTTTCGTTTGCGGAATTTATTTATGTTATGGATTTCGTATACGAAAAATATTCACAGAAAACATAGGTTTTAGTAATTTGGTAGTTAATCTAGGTGAAATATAGGGACTACTTCAAAAAGGGAATATAATACAAGCAGATTATAATAACACACTCTATTTTATTATTATTTTAACATACCGCTTTATTACACAAATTAAGTGAATTTTCAACATACTGTTTAGTTTTTAACTTTAATTCAACATTGATTTACAAGCCTTCAGAATTATTTTAATGTGTGCACCAAATTATCAAGAAAATGATTTTGACACAGCATTCTATGTTCAGTGTACAATTTCATTTGGAATTTTGTTAATGAATTCCGTCCTTTGTGGAAAATATATTTAGCTCACGATTCACATCTGAAAACAAATACAACGAAATTAAGAATGTTATACATACATTTTCCTAAGAATTTTATAACAAACTAATTTAATTTATAGTTCTTAATCGATAAACATCCTTAATCACCTTCACCTACATCATCACTTTTATCAGAAATAACATCAAATTCTTTCATACAGATTAGCATGACATACCTAATACTGAAGCTCTTTGAGTCAAGTCATAATATTTACAATTAAATACAAGTATTTATGTCAATTCTAACTCTTCTGCTAATAAATTAACTAACACTAGCATTACATAATGGGAATATTCTCTTGTTAAAATGAAGCGGAACTTCACGTACTATTCATTAGTTTGGAAATCTATAAATAGAAGATTAAAGTAAGTACAGTATAAGATTCCTTTTAGCCGGCTTCGGAAAACGAAAGAGCTTTACATTATGCTGGGTTGGCGAACGTCCACACTTTAAACATTTTCTTCTGTTTTCTTTATCAGCCATATTTTCAACAACCACAACAACAGAAAAGAGTCACTATCTCAAATTTCACAAATAACTATGAATCCACTTTCTGAGTATATTTAAAGGAGGAACAAAAGCTCATCTCGACGTTATAATGATAAGAAAATGCAGGAAATAAGGAATTGTGATGGAATTGCATGGAACAAGTGGGAACAACAACAAAATAAATTGCCATTATTTTAACTCGTTAGATATTATACTTAGAAAGCTTAGTTCCTTCCGTAATATAATTTTAATTGGGGACATAAATATTGATATCGATCCATCTAGTGCTGATAGAAACGCATCCTCTTACTTAAACTTAACCTCATCCCTGGGCCTACTTCCTTCTCATACTTTGCCCACACATAAATACACTTGCCTTGACCACATATTATTAAAAACTAACTATCCAGCTATCACTGTTGTTGTTGAGGCTACAGTTACAGATCATTTTGCTGTGGTTTTGTCTCTCTCCACAAAACTGGAATTATACAATCTTTCAGAGACACTCTCAAAAGTTGACGAAGAGAAACTGACCTCTAATCTGCTGAATATAAATTTTGACACACTTTATGGGTTGAACGATCCAAATCAGGCGATGGAAAGTTTCATAAACTCTATTAAAAAGTCAATTCATAATAGCACCACAACATACACTCCAAGTAGAAGGCGTAAACAGATTAAGCCTTGGATGACTTCGGGACTGTTGAGATGCCTAAGAAATAGAGACAACCTTTATACCAAATGTAGAAAGGCCCCTGAAAATGACACTCTTGCGACTACCTATAGGCGATATAGGAATTTTTGCAAATCATTGATGAGAAATGCAAAGCGCAATTTTGAAAAATCTGAATTTGCTTTAGCTGGGAAGGATCCCAAACGTATTTGGAGTGTGGTGAGGGGTGTTGCAAATTTCAACACCAAAACAAAGCCTAACTCGGAACTATTGCAACTGAGACCTGATCCATTAGAAGCAGCAGATGAAGTAAACGCCTACTTTATTGGTGTCGGAAAGAATCTTGCAGAAAATTGCCTACTGAGCGCCCCTGCCCACTGTCAATCTGATACTACTGTCTCAAGCTCAGGTTCTCGAAACAATTCTTTTGTGCTACTCGGTACTGATAATGAAGAAGTTGAAAGAACAATCATTTCGCTCAAGTCTGATAAAGCTGTTGGATGGGACGGTATATCGGCTGGTCTTCTAAAAAAGTATAGGCATCTTCTTGTCCCTCCACTGACGTTCATTTTAAACCTTTGTTTATCATCTGGCACTTTTCCTGGTGTGCTCAAGAGAGCTATGATCCACCCAGTCTACAAAAGTGGCGATCGGAGCCTCCCAAGTAACTACCGCCCCATTTCAATTTTACCAACTATCTCTAAAATTCTTGAAAAGATCATGAATACTAGACTTATAAAATATCTTGAGAATAATGAGTTGCTATCCAAGTCACAATTTGGATTTCGTGCCAAAAAGTCAACTTCTGATGCTTTGCATGAAGTTAGTGATTACTTGGTGCATAACATGGACCGGGGTAGTAAGTGTTTAGCTGTTTTCCTGGATCTGGCCAGGGCTTTTGATACTGTCTCGATACCTCTATTACTGGCAAAGTTAGACAAAATAGGAATACGAGGTACACAACTTTCTCTTTTTGCTGATTACCTTAGTAGCCGAACACAATATGTAAGATTGTCAAGCAAAGTAGTCAGTTCTGATTCAGATATATTGTATGGAGTTCCCCAGGGAAGTATACTGGGTCCTACACTGTTTCTTGTATTTATAAATGACCTCTGTGACCTCAAACTCCAAAATGGAAAAATAGTTACCTTCGCAGACGACACGGCGTTGCTCTTCTCGGGAGATTCTTGGGATGAGGTCTTTCTTTACTCCCAGAATGGTTTTAATTATGTATGTACATGGCTAAATAGAAATTTATTATCACTAAATTGTGTGAAAACTAAATATATGCCCTTTGCACTGCGTACTAGGGGTTTGCCTCTGGGACATCTGTTTAATATTACGGCCCACTGCTGTGGTCTTTTTGATATTACAAAATGTTCACGCCAAACTATAGACAGAACAGATTCTGTCAAATATCTTGGTGTTATGTTTGACAGTGGACTAGTGTTTTCCTCTCACGTCAAATCTCTATGTGGACGAGTAAGGAAGTTTATTTTTATATTTAAGAAATTA